CTTCTAGTATGGTCCATAGATGCCAAAAGATTGGACACCCCTGGATTCTAGAGGAAGTATTTTAGCTTAGAATAGACAGAGATATATCTTGGAAAGAAATTTATAGTTCCCCAAATGCGATTCTAATAGGCCACAGTGAGAGGAGGCAATATGTCTCTGGAATGATTCCAATATTTACCTATCTACCCCTCTTTATTCCCCTTGATCTTTTTACCTTTCTTTGTTTCCTTTCTGTAGTTGCCACACCTCTCCAGGAAGGAGAGATGCTAAATGAAAGAGAGTCAACATTAAGGCTTCCCTCATAGATGCCAGCTTGCCTCAATGTTTCTCTCCCCTAAGTATTGTTTGCTGGGGCTTCTTTTCCGCAGAAGGAAGAAGGAGCAGGATACAGTGCTGTAATCACAACCAAGCATTTTGTCTTCCTCTACTTCTGCCTGCTGACATATCAGCAGTTCTGTATAATGAAAATCTAAATCAATTGTGTGCACGCATGAGAACTGTTTATTTGCTATTGGCTTTGAGGACTCAATGGGAGTTTGATGGATTTAGAAAAAGAGATCAACACTGGGAGAGCCTAATCTCATAAGTAGATGAAATGAAAATTGAAGCTCAAAATGCATCTGTCTACATCTAAAGAAAAGACCAGTAATAAATATCATTCAACTTGAGCCCCACTCTAGCTCAAAAAAATGCTTTTAAGCCAAGGACACAGGGTGGAGATGACTTCTTGGAAGTGTCCTGGCTCCTGTCTGCTAAGAAAGCTTTACTAGGCCTGGTTGTAAACTGATTGTGAGTTCTAGAAATAGCATACCTTTCCTTCCAAGCTGCCAAAAATTGGATGTCTTCCATTTTTTTTAACAAAATGTATTCATTATTAGTTTTTTGAAACTTCCTTTTTTTCTCACTGACATTCTGCCTTAGGACCAAATACAGTCCTGAAGCTTCTCTACACTAGTATTTCTACCAAGAGTGAATGCCAGACTGAAGAAATTGTCCTTATCACATTCTGAAAGGGCCAGGCCTTTCCTCACTGCATTTTATTGGACAATGGGTAAAGCCTCTACTTGCCAGCAGCTTCCTCTTACCCTATCTCCCCAGGGTTTCCCCTCCTCCAGAAACCTCCTATTGCCACCTATTCTTGCAGAAGCCAGAACTCCCTTTTCCAGAGGCCAGAGTCTGTCTGTCTTGATTCAGGGAACATGCTCCTGCAAGGTGGGAATCCTCTGCCTAGAAGATACCAGAAGCTATAAATGAATGGAGGTGTTTATTCTCCATGGGAGCAGAGATTATGAGTGACATTAAGGAGAGGGCATTGCTCAAGACAGACCTGAGTGACTTTAACACTTGTAGTATACCAAGCACCACCCCAGGTGTAGAAATTGTAACCCTTCAGACACAAAGGAATGCCGATTGGGCAGTGACTATCCATCTGCCATTCCCTACTAAATGGACTCAATGAATATTCAGTTGATTGTAAGCTAGCTCAGGTGAATAGTCTCCCACTTCTTTCACCACACCCCCACACATATAAGCTCTAAGTAGTTCCAAGAATCAGAAAGGACCCATGGTTAGGCATTTAATCTGTGTATATGTAGGGAGAATGACCACCAGCTATGCATGGGTCAAAGCTGTCTCTGAGATCCACTTCATTTGTTCAGCCCTCCACCTGATCCACAGGCTCTCCTTCCCCTGCTCAACAGCCAGAGGAGGTAAGCTTAGTTATCATATCCTGCTCCAGACCACAGGAAAAAAAAAAACAGACTAGTCAAATATCTATGAAAAAAGAAAGGCCTGGCAAGAAAGAAACCAGACACAGGCAGGAAGGAATTTAAATTCAAATTGAACAAGGGACTAGATCCCTCTTTGAATATAATAATCTCTTGCAGGCTTGGTTTAATCACAGAAAAAAATCCTTTTAAATTCTATCCCTTTTCCATGGAAAAGGAGGGAACATACCAACTGACTAGGACCTTATACAATGTGACAGTCAGTTAAAATGATTCTTTTCAGTTCACTCCTTTTTGGTAAGTCTCTTCTTTAGTGTACAACTACCTCACAAGGTGTTCAGGTATCTGGGCCATGGAGAGCAACAAAGCATTGATTTCCTGGACAGCAATATATAACGGAATGCAACAGGAGGTAAGAATACTCACTAAGCTGTTATTTTCCATTTTCCCCTTATACCACCAAGGACCATTCTCTGTCCTTCTCAGTCATGCTCTGTGCCATAAAAACCTGACCACAATGGGCTGTAGCAATAGGGTTTCTTGCCAGCTGGCATCTGCCTGAGTCTGGCTAGTAATGGGCACTGGAAGATCAGAAAGTGAGAAGAGAATTTTTATATATATATATATATATATATATATATATATATATATATATATATATGTAAAAATAAAAATAAATATAAATATAAATAACATAGATACAGATGATGATATAGATATAGATGATATAGATATAGATATAGATATAGATGATATAGATATAGATATAGATATAGATATAGATATAGATATAGATAGATAATGCCCCTGTCTACCTCCCAGCTGTGTTACATTTAGGCAGAGACCACATTGTCCTAACTAAAGACACAAGTCCTATCAGGCAGGCCCTCTTACACAGCTAAAGCTCTTGCTAGATTTCAATAACATGATTTTCCCCTTGACCCTTCAGCCTTACCTGTGGTAACAGGTCTCCACTGTTCATAGTCTTTGTATGCTTCACCATCACTTGCAGGTTCTCTAAATCCTACCCAAGCCACAATAAATGGCCCCTTCATTAAGCTCATCTCAGTGGAAGCCCAAGTATGCTATGTGTTTCCTGCCAAGACTCTGACTTAAATACTTAGATCACCTCCACAAATTCTATTTCACAGAATTCCAGGAAGGTTCTGTAGCCCGACAAGGGATAGCATCTGCTCCAGCTGCCTTTTCTGGGGACAGCGATCTGCCTTTTATCAAATGTTCGACATAGTCTCCATATACTGGGCTCTCCTAAATTAAAGTTGCATCATTTTGCCTACACAATCAAAATGAGGTCTGAATCAATTCCTTTTATACCTTATCTGTTCTTAGTCATCTTTTCGGTGGGAGGGGGGGATGTTATAAACCAAATTACATTGCTTCTTTCACAGTGAGGTATCTTTAACATGCCTTATCTTAAACACAATCCATTTCCATAAAGAAGACAATACTTGACCTGAACTTGATCATCTGTTCCTTAATGTCTGTCATCCCTCTAGTACTCCCCATCTTGGTGATATAAACCACCCACATGTAAGAGTGGTCATTCAAAAATTTTGGAATATCTCCATGCTACTGCTTTCCCTGAATCTTTGCTAGTACATGTTACCTTTTCTGTCTAGCTTCCACGATTTGTCTCTCAGATTCATTTTAGGCATCATCTTTTCTAAGAAGCTTTCCCATGAACCCCCTCACTCCAGGTTGGTTTAATAGACCCTCTATGTGATCCATTAGCCCGCTCCTCTTCACTTACTAGAGCTTAACACACTGTTCAACAATTGTTTATTCACATGTTTGACAATACCAACAACTACCCCTTTTATGGTAAGAAATTGTGTCTGCATCCTTTTATCCTTAGTACTTAGCACAGAATATGGCATATAATAGGATACTCAAAATGTGTCTGGAATAAATGAATGAATGAACGAATGAATGAATGAATGAATGAAAGAAATATATGCTTGAATTCACTTACTTATATAAGATTAACATAAGGACCCTGACCCTTTTTGGGATAGCATACAATGAATAAGCCCAGTTTTTGCCATTTCTCTCCTTCCAGGAAGGGTTGTACCTCAACGATCCAGAGTAATTAAAAATAAAACATTTGAGCTGACCTTCCCACCTAATCCCTAAAGCTGTAGTCCTGGAACAGTAGAACTAGCCTGAGATAGTTGGGTATTGGGAAGAGACAAATTTTGTCCCTGGGCAACATCAAGTTCTTTTCTTCCATCCATCCTCGAGCACTTTTGGGATGGAGACCAGGCCTAAAAATACACCAGCCCTTGTTGATGTCAGGGCTATGTTCTTTTATGTATAACTCACCCCAGATGGAGGGGAAAGCATTTGAAACAGGCAGAGAAACATATTGTAGTAGGAATGATCAGAAGGGCAAAAGACCACTATGGATATCCTAGTCAATAAAAATGAACTCTGTTAGAAATTTCAGTAAGGAGCCAGCAGAAACATCCTTGCCATCATCATCATCATAAAATCATGTTTATTGAATGCACAAAAATGCTATTATATGCTCATAACATTTAATGAATACCATTTCTGAATCTATAAGGGAATAAGGAATACTTGCCACTATATTTTGATGCCAGTTACCCAGCCAGCATACAAAATGAACTCTTATGAATATTCTAAGACATAATGAGGGAGAGGCCTTAGATTACAAGCAAGCATCTTTGATTAATGTTTTCCTTACTAGGAGTCACTCTCCCCACAAGCTTTCCCACAACTTAAAAAGAAGAGAGTCAGGATAAAAGAGGAAGAGTGGAGGTGTTATGCTGAGAAAGTCTCAAAAAAAATTGAGCAGTGGCACTCTACAGATAGCAATCAGTACCAGGGGAAGGGCTGTAGGAATGGAATGGTAGGAACCAGGCCTGTCCATTCCCTTGTCTTTCCATGCACAAGTGTTCTTACCTAGCCTTGAAACTTTGGGTTAAGTGGCACATAAGAGCTATGGAAGACTGAAGGGCTGTTTGATCGTGCATTTACCTTTCAAGTGAGGATCTTCTCCTTACTTTGGGACTTGAGGCTAGTGGGTACTCACAAGTTAGGTAAACATTTGAGAAAATCATTGTTCCTGATAACTTTTATAAGCAGCCACTGATGCACTGGCTTAAGGGAAAGAGAAAATTAATGACTGATGAGTTTAAAAAGCATGCAACTCTAGGCTACACTACTGAAAGGTGGGTGGCAACTGGCCTAGTCTTAGTACCTCTTTCCAAGTCTCCCTTCCCTCCTCTTTCCCACCCTCTATAATCTTATGTCAAAGCTCAAGGTTTGAGGCAGTGGTCAAGCTCCATGGCATAAGAATTGGTGTTCCTCATGATGCTCTCCACCAACATAACAGGCTTGGGTTTTTTTCCAGCAAAGCAAGAAAGCCAGGTACAGATCAACATGGCTGCAGCTGCTCCACCTCCGGCACAGTAATAGGCCCAGCCAAGCCTACAGGTACCTGTAGAAACAGGGACAGAGACATGAGAGTTAAAGTAAGAGTAGGCAGCAGTGAATGCAACTGGGATCCCTGTATCCTCCTTTCCTCCTTTGCTGATGGCTGGTATTTGTTTTAGCAAGAAGTTATAAAGTTTTACACTGTTACAGTAGGAACCTGGGGGTGATGTGGGTGGTGGTAGTGGTGGTGACATTAATGACAGTGATGATATGACAATGATCAAGTGTCAAGAACTTGGCTAAGGTCATTAGACATACATCTTAATAACTATATAAGACTAATACACTTATCTCTGTTTTATACAAGATTAAGCAATCAAGGCACAAGTTAATAGTGAAAATGACATATCTAAAAAGTGGTAGAGTTGGGATTTGAACCCTCACTCATCTTAACTCTAATGCTCCACATTTTTTGCTGCACTGATACACTACAGTGCATGGACTGTTTTCAAAGAGTCATCATTATCAGATTTGACAGGAAAAACCATATCCATTACCCCTTGCTCTATGACTTTATCCTAACCTAACTTTTAGACATCCATGGAACAAATATGCACTGGAATCAAGGCCAAGCTACTAAGGTGGTAGTTCCAGTTTGAGGGGAAATGGGAAACGTCATAAGCTCAAAATAATCTATCCCACCACCTCACACCCTGTCAGAAGTAGATTCTCTTTTTTTTTCATTTCTTTTTTTTTATTTTAATCATGGTTCAAGTACAGTTTTCTCCCTTTTACTCCCAATCCAGCCCACCCACCCAACACTCCCCACTTCCCTCCCATCACCACCCGCCCTAGGTTTTGTCCCTCTGTCCTTCAAATTTGTTCCTGTGACCCCTTCACATTCTCCCCTGAAATTCCCTCATCTCTCCCCTCTGTTCACTGTCAGCCTGTCCTCTATTTAAATGTCATTAGTTATATTTTTCTTGTTTCTTTGTTTTGTTGTTTAGGTTCCTGTTAAAGGTGAGATCATACTGTATTTGTCTTTCACTGCCTGGCTTATTTTGCTTAGCATAATGCCTTTCAGCTCCATCCACGCTGTTGCAAAGGGTAGGAGCTCCTTCTTTCTTTCTGCTGCATAGAATTCCATTGTATAAATGTACCATAGTTTTTTGATCCATTCATTTATTGATGGGCATCTAGGTTGCTTCTAGCACCTAGATAATGTAAATTGTGCTGCTATGAACAACAGGGTGCAAAGGTTCTTTTGTATTAGTGTTTTAGTGTTCTTAGGCTAGAGTCTCAGGAGTGGAATTGCAGGGTCAAAAGGCAGATCCATTTTTAGTTTTCTGAGGAAGTTCCATATTGCTTTCCATAGTGGTTGTACCAGTCTGCAGTCCCACCAACAGTGCACTAGGATCCCCTTTTCTCCACAACCTCTCCAACAGCTGTTGTTTGTTGCTTTGTTTATGATGGTCATTCTGACTGGTGTGAAGTGGTATCTCATTGTGGTTTTAACTTGCATGTCTCTGATAGCTAACAATACTGAGCATCTTTCCATGGGTCTCGAGATCCTCTATATGTTCTTGTAGAAGTGCCCACTCAAGTCCTTTGCCCATTTTTTAATTGGGGTGCTTGTCTTCTTAGAGTGGAGTCGTGTAAGTTCTTTATATATTTTGGAGATTAAACCCTTCTCTGAGGTATCATTGGCAAGTATGTTTTTCCATACAGTTAGTTCTCTTTTAATTTTGATACTGTTTTCTTTAGCTGTGCAGAAGCTTTTTATTTTGATGAGATCCCATTTGTTTATTCTTTCCTTTATGTCCCTTGCTCTAGGGGACATGTCAATAAAAAAGTTTCTGCGTGAAATATCTGAGATTTTCCTACCTACGTTCTCCTCTAGGACTTTAATGGTGTCACGGTTTATATTTATCCACCTTGAATTTATTTTTGTATAAGGTGTAAGTTGGTGCTCTAGTTTCATTTTTTTGCACATAGCTGTCTGGTTCTCCCAACACCATTTGTTGAAGAGACTATTTTTGCTCCATTTTATGTTGCTGCTTCCTTTGTCAAATATAAATTGACCGTAGAGACTTGGGTGTATTTCTGGGCTCTCTGTTTTTTTCCATTGGTCATCTGCCTGTTTTTATGCCAGTACCAGGCTGTTTTGATTACAGTGGCCTTGTAGTATAGTTTAGTGTCAGGTATTGTGATCCCTCCTACTTTACTCTTCTTTCTCAAAATTGCAGCAGCTATTTGGGGTCATTTGTGGTTCCATATAAATTTTTGAAGTGTTTGTTCTATATCTGTGAAACAAGCCATTGGCACTTTAACAGGTATTGCATTGAATGTGTAAATTGCTTTGGGTAGTATACACGTTTTGATGATACTAATTTATCCAATCCATGAACACGGTATATGTTTCCATTTGTCTGTGTCTTCCTTGATTTCTTCCCTCAGTGTTATGTAGTTTTCTGAGTACAGTTCTTCTATGTCTTTGGTTAGGTTTATTCCTAAGCATTTTATTTTTCTTTTTGCTATTTCAAATGGGATTTTTTTCTTGATTTCTGCTTCTGCTGTTTCATTGTTGGTGTACAGAAATGCCTTCAATTTCTGGATATTGACTTTGTATCCCGCTGTTTTGCCAAATTCATTTATTAGGTCAAGCAGTTTTTTGGTGGAGTCTATAGGATTATCCATGTACACTATCATGTCGTCTGCAAACAGTGGCAGTTTTGTTTCCTCCTTTCTGAGTTGGATGCCACTTATTTCTTTTCCTTATCTGATCGCTGTGGCTAAAACTTCCAGTACTATACTGAATAGAAGTAGTGAAAATGGACAGCCTTGTGTTGTTCCTGATCTTAGTGGAAAAGATTTCAGTTTTTGCCCATTGAGTATGATGTTGGCTGTAGGTCTCTCATATATGGCCTTTATTATGTTGAGCAATGCTCTCTCTATTCCCACCTTGCCGAGTGTTTTTATCACAAATGGGTGCTGTACCTTATCTAATGCTTTTTCTGCACTTATTGATATGATCATGTGGTTTTTATCTTTGCTTTTGTTTATGTGATGTATTACATTTACTGATTTGAGAATATGGTACCATTCTTGCATCCCTGGAATGAATCCCACTTGGTCACGGTGTATGATCTTTTTAATGTATTGTTGGATGTGGTTTCCCAGTATTTTGTTAAGCATTTTAGTGTCAATGTTTATCAGCAATATTGGCCTGAAGTGTACTTTCTTTGTTGTGTCTTTATCTGGTTTTGGAATTAGGATGATGTTGGCCTCATAAAAAGAGTTTGTGTGTCTTCCATCTTTTTGGATTTTTTGGAATTGTCTGTGAAGGTATAGGGTTAGCTCTTCCTTAAATGCTTTGTAGAATTCTCCTGTAAAACCATCAGGTCCAGGGCTTTTGTGTGTTGGGAGTTTTTGATTACTGCGTCAATCTCTTTTGTTGTTATTGGTTTGTTCAGGCTTTCAGCTTCTGTTTCACTGAGTTTTGGAAGATTATATTTTTCTAGAAATTTATCCATTTCACCTAGGTTTTCAAATTTCTTGGCATACAGTTCTTCATAGTAATTTTTTATAATCCTCTGTATTTCTGTGGTATCTGTTGTAATCTCTCTTCTTGCATTTCTGATTGAGTTTATTTGGGTCTTCTCTCTTTTTTTCTTGATGTGTCTGCTTAAAGGCTTGTCGATTTTGTTTATCTTTTCAAAGAACCAGCTCTTGGATTCATTGATCCTTAGAATTGTGCTTTTAGTCTCTATGTCATTTAATTCTGCTCTGATCTTGGTTATTTCCTTCCTTTTGCTTGCTCTGTTTTGTGTCCTATCATGTAGTCAATCTTTGAAAATGTTTCGTGTACATTTGAAAAGAATGTGTTTTTGGCTTCTTTGGGAAGGATGGCTGTGTATATATCAGTTAATTGCATTTCATCTAGGGTATTGTTCAATGCTACTATATCTTTGCTGATATTTTGTTTGGAAGATCTGTCCAATTTTGACAGTGGGGTGTTAAAATCCCCCACTATAATTGTGTTTCTGTCAATATCTTTCTTGAAGTCCTCTAAGATTTTCTTTATGTATTTGGGTGCTGCTCTGTTAGGTGCATACATATTTACAATATTTGTATCTTCTTGGTGGAATCTTCCCTTGAGTAGTATGAAGTGACCTTCTGAGTCTCTGTTTATGGTGCTTTTTTGGAAGTCTATTTTGTCTGATATGAGTATTGCTACCCCAGCTTTTTTTTTTTTTTCCTGTCCATTTTCTTGGAAAATTTGTTTCCAGCCCTTCACTTTCAGCTTGTGCAGGTCTTTTATCTTGAGGTGGGTCTCTTGTAGGCAGCATATATGTGGATCATTTTTTCTTATCCATTCAGCTATTCTATGTCTTTTGATTGGAACATTTAATCCATTTACGTTTAAGGTTATTATTGATAGGTACTTATACTCATTGCCTTTTATGTATGTGTGTTCCTCTCTCTGTTTTCTTTCCTTTCCTTAAAGCAGTCCCTTTAGAATCTCTTGCAGAGCTGGTTTGGTGGAGGTGTTTTTGTAGACTTCTTTTTTCTGGGAAGCTTCTTATTTGGCCTTCTATCTTCATTGAGAGCCTAGCTGGGTAAAGTAGCCTTGGTTGCAGACCTCTGGTTCTCATTACTTGGAATATTTCTTGCCATTCTTTTCTGGCTTGGAGTTTTCCCATTGAGAAGTCAGCTGTTAGCCTTATTGGGGCTCCCTTGTATATCACTTCCTTTTTTTTTCTTTCTGCCTTTAATATTCTCTCTTTATCTTGAAATTTTGCCATTTTAATTATGATGTGTCTTGTAGTGAGCCTCTTTGGATTCCTCATGATTGGAACTCTCTGTTTCCTGGGTTTGTGTGACTTTTTTTCTCATCAAATTAGAGAAGTTTTCCATCACTACTTTTTCAAATAGGTTTTCTATCTCTTGCTCTTCTACTTCTCCTTCTGGTATTTCTACTATACCGATATTATTATGTTTCATATTGTCTTGCATTTCTCTTAATCCCTCGTCATTCTTTCTGAGCTTCTTTTCTTTTTCTTG